ATTCTGCCTGATAAGTATAGGTGGTTTCCAAGGTTGTTTTCTCTCTCTCCTGTTTTTGTCAGTTTTAACCATTCCTATAACTTAAAAGCTGGGCAAGGATGGGCAGTCTCCTGCTGTGCGATTAACTGCCTCTGAAAACCTGCTGGGGGTTCAGCTATGGATCAGTTCTGAATCAATGGTACACTACACAACAGCACAACTTTAAAAATACTACACCCAAATGATTCATAAATATATCTCTCAAGTTCTGATTTCTGTCTGTACTGATGTTTTAGTTACCTACTGGACATTTGCTCTCTGCTTAATTCTGACTCTTAATGACTCACTGTCTTTGGGGATTCTAAAGCTGTAAACCTTTCCTACAGGACATTACCCTTCTTTCTCCTGAAGAATGACTGGTGGATTTGAATTTCCCACTTTTGGCAAGGAGCTTGTTATGTTACATGCTCCTCTACCAAGGCTCCTTTTTTCTATTGGAAGATCTGGTGGCTTAGTGGTAAGGAATTACGCTGCCAACTCAGTACACAACGCAGTTCAAATCCACCAGCTGCTCCATGGGAGAAATATGGGCAATCTCCTTCCATACAATTTACTAACTCTTTTTTTCTGTCTTTATCATTTTTCTATCAGTATGTCAAATTTCAGCATATTTAGAACAGTCTGAAATATCTTCTAACCAAAACAAGATTATCCTTATAACTTAACTGCTTCTAATAATATCGCATCCATATGACTCTTCTTCGTCCTTTTTTCTCCAGCTTTCTGTTACAAAATCATTTCCATTTTCCTTCAGTGATTTTTCTTGGGCCTTTAGCTTGGGTTGGTTGCTTGGTTTGGTTTATCAAGGATCTAATTCTTTTAAACACCAAAATAAATTACTTGAAGGAACTCTTCAAATCCACCAGCTTCTTTGCAGGAGGAAGTCTCCTCCCTTGTAATTATTGCCTCTGAAAACCTGCTGGAGGGTCAGCTCTGAGTCAGTTCTGACTTGACAGTACACAGCAGCAGCAATTTACAAGGAGAAAGATACTATGAGCCATTAAAAGAATGCTTAGACAAGAAGTTCTGACACTAATTTGGGGGAAAGTCACTTAACTCATTAGGGTCCCCCTTTATGTCCCTTAAAATGAGGAGGTTAGAGTAGTTGAATTTATAGAAATCTTTTCTATTATATGTGCTTTCTTTATCCCTCTGCCCATACCACTTCAACAGTGCCTGCAAGCCCTGGAATTTCTGCATTCGAACCAGGTCATCCACAGAGACATCAAGAGTGACAACATCCTGTTGGGAATGGATGGCTCTGTCAAGCTAAGTGAGTAGGGGTCTTCAAAGTAATAATACTTGATTTTCCTTCTGGGTGAGAATCATGTAATTATAACTACAAGGATCATCAATGAGTCCTTATTTCCTGGCATATAAATATATCCTTTTATTCTCCTGTCATAAATTGTAATTTAATTTCTTTTTCAATCATTTTTACTGTCAGCCAAAAATGATGACTAAGGGTACATGCCTCCTGCCATTGAGTTCCCAACCTAGTGTAGAAGACATGGGATTGCTAAGTAGGAAAAAGAGTGTATTGACCTTACCAGCCATAGACGATGAGGAATTAAGCCAGGGACTCATGTCTAGGGAATAAGGCAAGGCTCAAGTTAGCAAATATTCAGATATGGGAATGATTTTCAAGAAAAAAACAGAATTGGACCAAGCAACCAAAGCCAATGGGAGACTTAGACTTTGGTGCCTCTCATTTGAACAGGTGGGTGAACAGAGCTATTGTTTCCTATATTCTTCCAGCTACTCTTCAGGCTTGAACAAGAAACAGTCTAGGAGTCTGAACTGTAGATGAAAGTTAGGTGACTCCAGCTTTGAAGAGACCAGGGATTGCAGTTGCCCAGGGCCAGAGATTGACACTTCGAGATAGGCATGTGATACTGTCTGAGGATTGTCCTAAATGTACATTCTTCCCTTCTTTTTAACCCCTTCTCTAGCTGATTTTGGATTCTGTGCCCAGATCACTCCAGAGCAGAGCAAACGGAGCACCATGGTGGGTACCCCATACTGGATGGCACCGGAGGTTGTGACAAGAAAAGCCTACGGACCCAAGGTTGACATCTGGTCCCTGGGCATCATGGCCATTGAAATGATAGAAGGAGAGCCCCCATACCTCAATGAAAACCCTCTGAGAGTAAGTGTGATGGATCCCATTTCAAAATAGCTAGCTAGGTGGTTGTTTCTGGTCCCAGGAAATGGCACTTGGGATATGACTCTCTGAGTAAAAATTAGACACAGGATGGGCGGTTTCCTCCAGTGTGATTAACTGCCTCTGAAAACCTGCCGGAGGGTCGGCTACGTGTTGATTCCGACTCAGTGGTACACAACAACAACAACAAAACTGTGGAAAAGCAGAGTAAAGGAGTTAAGATAGTAATGAGAGAAGTGTGCTGTTTTATAAGTAGAGAGAACCTCTCTTGTAGGTTATTTGGAGGAAAGTTCAAAGGAAGTATGGAAGCAAGCAATAAGATTAATCTAAGAAAGGAACTTTCCATATATGATACATACAATGATCTTGATTTGAGAACATGTTCCTTGTGTTCTGGGGGAAAATAAGGAGAATTTAGTATCCCTGAAGTGAGGGAGCAGTCAAGAAGAGTGGTGGACAGCTCTGCGAACTAGCAGGGGGCTGCATCAAGACTTGGGAAGAGATGACTTTTATTCTGCTGGAGAGGGGAAGCCACAGCAGAGTTTTGAGTTGAGAAATAATGTAATCTCTGATTTGTGTTTTTACTAGTCATTAAGACTGTTTTTATGGAAAAATGTTACAATTACTCTGATTGCTTTTCTTTTCTCTTTTCTTCCTAACCTTTTCAGTCCAGGAATCCCTTGTGTCTTATCACTGAGAAGTGATCATCTAACCTTAACTGCTGGGTCATCTCACTTTTGGATAGCTCTCGTTATTGCAGAATGCCTCAGTGTCTTCAACCAAAATCTGTCTTCTGCAGTATCTACTCTTTTGTCCCCAGTTTTATCCTCTGAAGCTACATCCAACACGTCTCTATCTTAGGAAGCTTGCAAAGACATGGAGATGATGATCGATGAGACATGACAGAGAGGCTTTGATTAGGCTCAGAATACATGAGCTTTTGGGAGCAGTATGATGTGAGGTGTATCTCTTTGTTTCTAGGCTTTATCTGTGAAACAGGTTTATAATCCTAACCTGTCTATTACCTAGTTTTTATGGCTATCAAATGAGATACTGCTTGTATGGGTACACTGTAAATTAAAGTAATTGTAAAAGTTTAGTGTTACTGGGTTGTTGTTTTTTTTTTTTTCTCAGGAGTTGCTTCATGTTAGGGGACCAGGAAAGCAACAATAAAATGAGTTGCCGGTTCAGCAACTTTTATATTCCTCTTCTGCCTGAAGGAATTAATTCTTATATGACTAAAGGAATAATTTCCACCAGTAACTGGGCATAGGTTTAACTCATAAGGCTAAATGAATAATAGCCATTTTGTACTTGTAATCAAGAATAATAAATCCTTAACTCTGTAACATATATCATAGTTATTAGAATATTTTGCAAATACTATAATTTTACTTGTACGGACATGGAGATAGTGACTGTATCACCTCCACTTTACAGGAGATTGGAAGTTCATTGTTTGCATATGACCACAAGATACAAAACCAGATCCTAAGGTCATACTTTTTCCACTATACTAAAGCTGTCTCTCTGTAGCCTTTGCATAAAGTTATTTCTATAGAGTATATTTCCTCATAATTTAGAATGTTACAAGTCTAAATTCAGGGTGCTGACTCCATGGGAAATATGCCTTTCCTTTTTAAGCTCCTGGATGATCTTGATTTGGTTTTAGCATTTCTCTTACATTTGTTTCCCTTGATGGCTCATTTAATCTCTTTTTTAAAGCTGCACTACAGTCCCAAAGGCACGTGGTTCAGATCCACCAGTTGCTCTGTCTGTAGGAGAAGAACACTCGCTGGAGGGACAGCTATGGGTGGGTCAGTTCAAATTCAGTGGTACACAACAACAACAATACTTGGGTAGAAAAGAGATTGATCCGATATACATCCTAGTCTTCATCCTGTGCCATTAACATAATATAGAAAACTCATGCCCAAATGGTTTTATAATTTGATAAGCATCAAACACATTGCTATCAAGCTGGAACTGACTCACTGCTGAGCCCCCATCAGATGTTCAGAGGCTGTAAATCGCATGGGACAAGACTGCCCATTTTTCTCCAGTGGAGCAACTGGTGGATTAAAACTGCCAGAGAGGCACCACCTTGGGGAGAGCACGGCAACTCCCCACAGACTTTGCCATCAAAGCTCCCGTTATAGAGAATACAGAGGTTGGGATTTACAACATACATTTTTGGAGGACACAGTTAAATCCCTAACTTTTTATCCTTTGTTGTTATTGTAGATGTTATTGAGTTGGCTGTGACCCACACTAATCCCTTGTACAACAGGACAAAACACTGCTTGATCCTGTCCATCCTCGAAGCCTCTGTTAAACCCACTATCGCAGCTAACATGTCAGTCCACTCTTTGGCCTTTTGAAATTCATCTCTTTCTCACATGCAAAACATATTCACTCTATGACATCACCTAAAAGTCTTAAATCTACTTCACATCAGAAATCTCACCTTCTGAATCATCTAAAGCATACATTGATTGATAAGACGTTAGGTGAATTGTATCTTGGGGCAAAATCTTTTTCATCTTTAAACATGTGAAGTCTAGATTGCAAGTTATCTGCTTTCAAAGTATAACGATGAAACAAGCACAAAGTAGACATTTCCATTAAAAATGGAAAGAGTGGCCCAGAGTCAGACGTGTAACCAGCCGGAGCGGTGGCAGCGGCTGGACCGCCGTGGCGCCGGGAGCAGAGACCGGCAGCGAGCGCGAGGCGTGCGGAGACGCTGGCTGTGGGGACCCGGTGACAGCGTAAGAGGTTTTAACAAGAAGTTTGCACCATGCGTGAATATAAGTTAGTCGTTCTTGGCTCAGGAGGTGTTGGAAAGTCTGCACTGACTGTACAGTTTGTTCAAGGAATTTTTGTTGAAAAATATGATCCTACGATAGAAGATTCTTACAGAAAGCAAGTTGAAGTAGATGCACAACAATGTATGCTTGAAATCTTGGATACTGCAGGAACGGAACAATTTACAGCAATGAGGGATTTGTACATGAAAAATGGGCAAGGATTTGCATTAGTTTATTCCATCATGGCACAGTCCACTTTTAATGATTTGCAAGACTTGAGAGAACAGATTCTTCGAGTTAAGGACACTGATGATGTTCCAATGATTCTGGTTGGTAATAAGTGTGACTTAGAAGATGAAAGAGTTACAGGAAAGGAGCAAGGTCAAAATCTAGCAGGACAGTGGAACAACTGTGCATTCTTAGAATCTTCTGCAAAGTCAAAAATAAATGTTAATGAGATCTTTTATGACCTGGTGCGGCAAATTAACCGAAAAACTCCTGTGCCTGGGAAGGCTCGCAAAAAGTCATCATGTCAGCTGCTTTAATATACTGAATGCATTGTAGCTCTGAGCCAGGTCTGAAGAACTGTTGCCCAATTCAACAGTGCCAGCATTCCAACTTTGTTAAACCTACAACATCTTAAATGGACTTTCCTGTGGTGGTACCCCTTAAGAGGCGGATGAAAGCTACTACATCAGTTTGCACATTCTGATCACTTTCCAGTATCACAAGAGAGATTTTTACTTCTATAATAGTCCTAGAGTATGCATCTGGTAAAACCAGAGGCTACATCCAGTATTACTGCTTAAGAGACATTCTTCAAAAAAAAAAAAAAGAGACATTCTTCATCCACCAATGTTGTACATGTATGAAAATGGTGTACTGTATACTTTAACACGCCCCATCCTTTGTATTGGAGAATACAATAATGTAAATCCTAAAAGCACCACTATTTTAGCATAATAAAAGAAAGTCCAAAGAGCTCCTATATAGACTACTCCAGATAACTTTGCTTCTTTGATACTTGTAGCTTATTGTAATTTTTTTTTAAGAATTCAAGGTCATTATCATTGTATTGTAAAAAAAAATCAGTGCTTTGATTAACACAGCTATATAGTTTTTTTTAATTTTTGGAAAACCTGTGGAGACAGTGATCTTGTCTTTAAAATATGATAGTCCTTTCAGTATAATGTCTTAAAGACGTTGCCTTTAATATCTGTTGGGAAGGAAATGTCCAGACTTTTCAAATCTCTTCTATGTTTCCTTTTTTGTTTACATAGGGAACAATGTTTATAGTTGTGTGTACAGTGGGGGTCTACAACAAGAAGTGTATATTTTCAAACAATTTTTTAATGATTTAACAATTTTTGTAAATCATTTTCAGGCTTCTGCAGCTGTAGATTCTCACTGTGAATCCCTTGCTTGCTCATGCATAAGTGTATTTGCAATACCAAATATACAGGTTTAGTATTTTTGCCTGTTAGTGATTG